ATAAAAAAAGCAGGAAAAATTAGGTTAAAAATTATCAGGAAACGGGAGAAACGTATTCCCAAACTCATAATTTTAAAAAATGGAATTGTTTTTTGGAAAACGAATCGACCTTAGGAGATTTTTTCTCCAAAGCCTTAGCCTCCCCCCTCCCTAAAAAAAAAAGACTCGGCGGTGTGATCCCCCTCTCTAAAAGATCCTGCTCCCTCGAAACGGCGGCGGTTGAACAACTCGCCTTTTTCTCCTCCAGCTAAATCCTAGAAGCAGTAGAAAAAGCAAATGCGCGATCTCCAACGAGGGAAGAGCGTCTTCTCAGGCTGGCACTGAGGGAATCCGAGATTTTGGCACCTGCTTCTCTCCCCGGTCCCTGTTATTACAAGGGGGAGAAACCGAAAGCGGATCCCGATCCGTTCCTGAGTCCTATGCAGCCTTCCCCCAAAAGGGAACCAATGCATTTGAGCTGGACGTGTGCGACAGATACATAGATGCAGATACAAAATTGCAAAAATTGCTCCAGTTACTTTCCTCAACGAGCACTTCGCAACTATTTCCGAATTCGCCCCTCCTTTTGCAACGGAGGAGGAGGAGGAGCGGACAGCGAAAGTGGGCGGGGCCCCGCATGCCCTTCTCCACCAACCAGCCGCACGAGAGCGTGAGATTCGCAAACACCGCTCCCCCCGCTGCTTCTTCTGTCATGTGCGTCTGCCATGGGGCAGGTGGGGCTCTGACCTAGATTTGACCAATGGGAGGAGAGACGATGGGAGGAGCCTGACCCAGTTTTGGCCAATGGGGAGGCGACAGGAGGGGGAAAAGGCGACAGTTCAGCGATGGAAGCACGCGGGGCGGCACGTGTCCCTGGTGTTGTGATGGGGAGCAGAAAGGGAAGCCTGGGTCTTAAAGGGACAGCGAGATATTCACTGGAAAGTAATAGGAGAGGAGACGCGTTTTCTCTAAAGGAGGATGAAGAGGGTGCACAGATCAAATCTGGAGTCCTATGTGGATACGACTTAAAAAAAAAAAACACTTGAGGACGGATTGTCCTTCAGATTTCCCCAAATTGCTCACCCAAACCTGAAGCGAACTTTCCCGCATTCTCTCCACATGCACAGAGTTCTGCTGTGAAAAACAGTTCACAGCTGTAAGTCGAAGCAGGCTCTCTCTGTATTCAACATCAGGGACAGAAGCAAACACCGTGACTTGTCTTTCCTGCCTCCCGTGGAATGATGGAGGCACAGATTTCTTAGAAGCACTTCCTGTCAAAGTAATATATTTCCCTAAGGTGCTGCTTGGCTCAGACAGACTGAGAGTTTATGTAAATCAAATGTGATTTTAAAGTCTTAAAATGTGGGCCTGGCCAGGGAAACGTTCACCATTTTCACAACTGAAAACAGCCACTAGTGTTACACTTTTGGTGTTCAGAAATTAGCACCTGAAATTTCTCACAGAAGGGAAACTTCATAACTGATCAGTTCCTGCATGTGAAGCTGGTGAGGCTTAAAAAAAAAACAACAGCTGGAGCTGATGGAAAATGCGGCCACTGTTGGGGCCTAGAAATACATGTCAGTGTTGTACAGGATATCACATGAAAAACAGGGCCAACATGGAATGGTGAGGATCTGTTCTTAAAGAAACCCACATTTCTAGCCTTTGTGATTGTGGGCAGAACTACAAGCTATGTAAGTAGCAAAAGGTGTGTGGGGACTTCTTCAGATTGTATGATACCTGTATCCTGCTTTCCTGAGCCCAGCTGCTTGTCTTTCTGCCAGTAGATTTAGACTGGATTCACACATCAGACTTGAGTCATAATGCTTATGTTACATGTTGTGTGAATTTAGCTAACTGTAGTTATCTAAAAAAGACTCCAAAACTATAGTTTATTCAAAAAAGCAACGAGATCATGTGCGAACCCAGCATCTGTTTACTCTCCCACTCTTTTCCTAAATCTGTACCAAAGTGTAAAACAATTCCAAATACTATTTGTACACCGTCACAAGAGAACCATCACAATGAAATGTGCAAATTGAATACATATTTGTACACATTGCCAAGATTCCTGTATACTTGTGGGAAGACAAAAGGAAGGAGGCAGTATTGATGTTTCTTAATAGAAAAATACCAGGTCAAAGTATTACCAGTGTCTTCTTTCAACCATCTCACTGAATAACTACAGAAAGACCCCCGGGCTGATGCAGCTTCTCAGCTAGGTTTATAATTCATCATCTTCCTCTTTAAAGTCAACTTGAAGAATCTTGATTCTGTTCCTTTCCATCCAGAAGGACAGGGACATCAGATGAAATGGGTGAAGGTGCTTTAAAAGAGGATTATCATCCTTGGAGCAACTGGGCTAACTGAAAAGGGGAGTTGGCTCTTTCAGGAGAGGCAGAAGGCCACTGTCAGGGGCAGGATCCATAATCAACTTCTGGATCTGAAAGAGAGAAGAGGACAGCAGCTGGGAAATCATCCAGAAGTCACCTGGCCTGCTTTCTTTCAAGACAGCAGAAATTCACAAGGAGACCCAGGAACATAGATTCCCCCAGAACCCTGCCAGAAGTTGTCACCAAACTGTAACTTTCATTGTGACTGAAGGGATATACTATTACATTTAAAATAAGTCTGATAGTTTCGGTCCTGGTGCCATCCAGTTTCTGGAGGGTGGCCCCTAATAGTCTCCTGAAAGATGAGTATCGTTCTCAATCCCTCCAACAATGTGCTCCCAGGCAAAGGCAGTAAATGGTTTATTTCTGCCAGATCACATTCCCTTGGGCAGAGACATAGAACTGGTTCGTTCAGATTGAGGTTTGCTTTGACCAGCTGGCCTCCTCTGGTCAACTATATTGTCTTACAGCTAGATAGAGATGAGGGCCTAGAGTGACCCCACAACAAGGCTTCTCTAGGAATTCTGATGGTTTCTTATCCTCCTCTATGCCCATGGGCACACAAGGAGATAAGACACAAGAGAAAGAAGCGCGAGAAGGATATGTTCTCCCCACGTCACCTGCCCATGATAATGCTGATCCTGACCAGGCCACTATGGATTTTTTAGTTGTATTACATTGTCAAAACAGAAACACGGTCAGCCAGCCTGCCTGGCTACTTCTGCAAAGGCAGCTGGGATACCACCAAAGACGGCTGCTCCTGATATCACTGGGGCAGCTTCACACTGAGCTGATTAAATGCCACTGCTTCCCCGGGTGGCCATTTATAGAGAGGTACTGGCCAACTGAAACAGGTGGATGAAGCTGGCAGCTTGGATGTGTGCAAAGAGAGCTAGGGAATTAATTACCTCTCGGAAGCGGGGGTGGGCTGCATCCCTGACAAGCTGCAGGATAAGTCCCTCGCTGGTGGTAAGGAAAGCCCCGCTCTGACGCAATCTGGACAGAGCTACGATCCTGTCCACCTGGCTAAAAAAGGGAGGCAGAAAGAAAAGAACCCAATAAAGGATACGAGGAAGAAGGAAGGGGTGATCTTTTCTCTCCATCAACCCCACTGATCACCTGCGGGAAGAGCAAGCATCCACCACGATGTGAACGTCCAGGCCTCGCTCCATGATGTCCAAGGCAGTACTCTGGATCCAAAATCAAAATACAAAACCTTCAGTTTCTATGAGAGAGCAGTCATTCCTGGGGTGGCACCCTCCAGAACTTTGCCACTCCCAGGGTTTTGCAACTTTCTAAATTCCTCAACCATCTCCCAGAACTTCTCAGTTAGCAGGCTCTCTTGGCTAGAAAATGCTGCGAAGTTTAGTATCAACCCATGTCTTGGAGATGACTATGCTGGGTCCTCATCCCCACCATGAATACATCCACTGGTGGTAAGCTGGCTACCTGGATATAAGGCAGCCTTGCTGCTTCCACTTTCATTCATAGGAGCAAATTAGATTTCTACCCATTTCTAGGTTCTACATTATTTGGCCTCGCCTCCCTTTCTTAGCTTGAGAAAAAAATGGAAGTGTTTTGTTTCCCACCAGGATCCTCAGAATTTGGAACTATTCACCAGGCCAGCTATACTGACTGAAGATTCAAAGGCAGGAGGAAACAGAGGTCTTCCCAGTTTTATTCTGGCACTTAATCCCTGGTTTCAAACAGCACATGCAATCAGTTTACTTAGCATGGGTGTGTTGAATAAATTACATGTGGCTAGATTCACACAACATATTGAGTCAAAACCAAAGAAGCCATATTACATGGCTGAGTATACTCAACACATTAGGTCAAATATTGTTTGCTTTAAACATGAATGAAACCTTTGCAAAGAAGCAACCAAGCTCAGAGAAACATCAAGAACCTAACAACTCAATCCTAAACTACATGTATTCTCTTCTGTTGGTTTTAATGCATTATATGAACTCAGACAGGATGGTTTATAAGCATGGTTTACAATTTAATGCTTTGGTGAATCCAGCTAAAGGTGATTAATTCAGTAAACTGTGGTTTAGCATGTTCTATGAAAACAGCTACTGGCTTAGTGCTATTTGAACAAGGCTGATAATCCTGGTCTCTATTGATCTATTTATTTGTCTGTTAAGTTTAAAACCCATTTTTTTCTCCAGGAATGCAAAGTGATTTTGATAGGAGGAACCTCCCTTCATTTTAATTCCACAATACCCCTTTGCAGCTGGGTCCACAGGACAAGGGGCAGAACAATTAAAGCCATGTCACACTGTAACCCCTCCCCAGAAGCAGAGTTTGCAGCATGACACTTTGTTATTTTGACAAAAGGAGCAAGTTCCTGCAAATTCCCAATCTCTCATATAGAACAATGGCTTAGGGAGACTAGCTCAAAGTCTTGATGGCTGAGGGTGGTTTTAAACTTGGATCTCCCAAGTCTTAGTCCAAGACCTTAACCACCATAGTACAATGATTTGAATGAAAAGGGGTGGATACATACACTATTGGGTTTCCTGCAGCACAAACGGGAGGGGAGCTGAATTTACTAGCCTTGTGCCGAGCCCATCCACCCTGGCATCAGTTCTTGTGCCCTACCCCCAAAAGCCAGGCTCCTGGTCTCATACCATGATGCAAGCCTGTGTCTCAATCCCACACAGAAGCACGGATTTCAAGTTGGGAACAGATTCCATCTCCTTTTCCACCTCTGGAATAAGCATGCTGAAGCATGTTTTGGTGTATTTGGGGAATTCTTCAGCCCCCAGCTCCGGTACTGTCGGACCCAGACCTTTGGGGTATTGCTCAGTCACTACTGTGCGGATTTCAAGAGCCTTGGCAACCTGTGGGGAGACAGAATTGGGCCTTGGGGGTGGATGGGGTGAAAACAAGCTGGACTCACGGATTGTTTGGACGAAGAGAGGTGTGCTTTTCAGAAACTGATTTTATGCTGACCCCTTGCGTCCATCTAAGAAATTGCACAAGACACCTCAGCCTTGCTTTTATGGCTGTCTTCTGCAGGTGTTTCATGGAGGACCTATGTTAGAGGGAGCATCCCCAGAAGTACATCCTGTGATGCCTGGTTTTGCCAGCATCGACAGCAAATGCTAAACATTCTTGCTAAACAGCTCCCAAGAGAGTAACTAAATTTGGGGCAATACCCCCCTAAAGATTATGAACTGGACTAAGTCTTGGAGGCACCTGCGGGGTTGCATCCATAGTAAATAAAACACTGCCTCCTTGTAACACCTCGATGAATTCTGGAACCCATATTTAGAATCCTGAGCTTTTCTACTTTTGGTTTCTAATAACCAATCAAAACCAATTAGTGAAATAACTAATTTCATCACCTCCTCCTCCATTTCTGTCTCTCCTGTCTCTTAGAGCATGCCAAACTTCTCTGATCTTACCCTCCAGTGTTTACCTTCAGCATCCGAGCTGCCACAGACACAATCTGCGGGAAGTAGCTGATGTTAGGGCGGAATTTTTCTTGCATGTCGCACAGGAACAAGATGCTTGTTTTGGGAACCACTTTTCCAAGCCGTGCCAGTGACATTTCCAAGCTGAGGCCAGATTGAGATATAAGAAGATCCTGAAAGTTTCCTTTTGGTGTTTTATTAAATATATTTTGCATGTTTTAAAGCCCTGCAGTTTATTTTGGTAACTTCAACAAAGTCTATATGTATATATAAAGAGTTACTGTATATATGTAATAGGTTAGATCCAAATATAGTTGTATACAATCAGATGAACTGTGATACTTAAATATTATTGTAAGTATGAAGTATTATGATATTTATTTATTTATCCACCAAATTTCTAGGCTGCTCAACTCCAAAACAATTCTGGGCAGCTTCACAATTTTTATTAGCCCACGTCAATTCACTGTAAGATGAAGAGCTCCTCACTGATAGTTATGGACCATAAGCTGCCATACTGGTCCAGGGTGCATTGGTAAGTCAATGTTATTTTTTTTTTTATTATTTCCCAGTCTAGGGGTGAGAGAGAAAGTCACTGGCCCAAAGTCACTGGCCAGCTTCTGTGCTTAAGGGAGGACTAGAACCTGGGTCTCCCCACTTCTAGTTCAGCATCTTAACTGCTCCATCACACTGATTCTCCTATAAATATCTCATTATTTGGACCAAGTCCCACAACTGCTCCATTTCAGATTTTCTAAAGTTGTCCATATTTTTGCCAGTGAATGTTAACACAGCTTCACACTGATCCTTCTGATACATAAAGGAGTCAGACTGAACAAATATGATCAAAGTGTTTCATTTATTTCATGAACGGTCATCCAACATCTAACCCCCCCCCCCCAAGAATGTTTTAACTAAGAACATTTTCTCAGGAACATCTTGAGTGCCATCCCACCTGAGAGGCCATCATCTGACATTATATCGTCAATCATTTTGTATTTTCTATCCATGTGGTTTTCTTAGTAAAAATACAGGAATGGTTTATCACTGCCTTCTCCCATGCAGTATGAATTGATGCCTTTGCCATTGTCACTAAAATGATCATCTGTTTCCAGCATCTTCCTATATCGCTGCTGCCCAATATTCAGTAGGTGCCTGCTTGCTTTAGTTGGGCAGCTGAGGTGACCTTCACACTTCGGGTGACCCTGCTGGGAATATACACTCTTGGCATACACTCCCCACGTTCTTCACTCATCCCTTCCAGGAACACCTCTTCTGCAGCACAGCAGGACTTGGGGTGTGTGTGTGTGGAAGACCTGAAAGCCCCAGGTTAGGCATAGATCATGATGGACAAAATCTATCCATGTGGTTGCTAAGAGTCGACACCAACCTGATGGCACAGAGTCATCAAAAATCAACTAAGAACTAATGCCCAGGCTTGCTTGCTGCTGCTTATGGGAGCTGAAAACCTGACTAGAATGTCTTTATTTAACTACTTAAATAGGATTTCCCCCCGCTAAATACGCTTAACAAGGATGTCATAGAAAAACCAAGAAACATGAAAGCTAACAATTCTATCCGCAATCAGATCAGGCTTCAGCACACCATTCACACGAATGTTACCGATGCAAAACGGCGATCGCAAAGGGCCTGGGCCTTCCAGGTTCTCAGGTCGGTTAGACCCCACGTACCCGCCTCACTTTGCTCAGGCCCCCATAAACATTTCACCCACGACTTCGCCGAACACTCACCTCTTTCTGCTCTCCAGGGCCACTGCGAGTTGTTAACCAATCAGAAGCGGGATCTCTAGCCCCCTCCAGCCACGCCTTCAGAACAGCTACTGGCCGGTGATCCGACTCCTAGGCGACGTTTCGTGTAATCGAACCCTCCTTTCCCTTCAGCCAATGGCGTCGCTCCTTCGGGGTTCCATGCGCAGCCGAAAGGCGACGCCACGTTCTAATGTCCTGTTACCAGGATGTCAGGAAGAAGTGTCGTTTTCGGACTGAGCTGATTGGCGGGAGGGGGACGCACCTGGAGGAATCTACAGTACAGTACACGGATATGTGTTCGTATACATATTATAGAATGCCCCAGGCTGGCTCTGATTAATTTTAGACGTTCTCCACGTGCTGCCTTTGAGATGCGGGAACTGTTGATTGTGTCCTAGATTCTGGAAAGAAGATCGTACTTAAAACTTCGCTTGAGGTGAACTGTTGGAGTTGGCATTCTTTTCTGGCACCGTTTGCCTGGGAATAAGCCGTATTGAACTCAGCTTCTGAGTGGAAACCCACTCCCGGTGAGCGCATATCCACAGATTGTGTGGAATCACATACCAGGTAGTATTTTCGATCATCCAAATTGCTGCCTTCTTTTCATGTGCTCTGCGCAAACAGTGCCAAAGCAATCATCTTCACCTCCCTTGCGGATTGGACCCAGCAGAGGAAAGCAAGAAGGTAGTTATAGTGAGGGCATGGTTGGTATACTAAAGAAGAGATAAGCGATAGGGAGCACCTTGCCCAAACTTCCTCATCCCAGACTTTGGACTAGAAGAGGATTCCTCAACCTCAGCAACTTTAAGATGGGTGGACTTCAACTCCCAGAATTCCCCAGCCTGGGGAATTCTGGGAGTTGAAGTCCACCCATCTTAAAGTTGCTGAGGTTGAGGAACCCTGGACTAGAATACAAGCAAGTCCGTGTGACTTCCGTCTTCCCCAGCTTGGTGCCCTCCAGATGCACTTCAACATTCCCTCCAGGGTTCCTGGGTCATGCTTGTGGGAGATCTGTACACCCCCCTTAAGGTCCTGAACTAAATCCAGGATATAAGTAAATAAATAAGCTTAGTCCAATATATCTGAAGATTGTCCTCAAATGAAGCTGGTTACTAGTTTCCTATCCCTTATTTGTCCATGACTTTGAAAGAGTGCTCAATCAGTAAAATGAAGAGACTAAATATTTATGTATAAACATAGCAGTAATGCATAATGGGTCAAATCTAAATGACAAAAATCACACTGGCTGGAGTTCTTAAGAACATTAATACAGCTTTGCTGGATCAGGCTAAGGTCCATTTAGACCAGCATTTTGTTTCCTACAAAGGGCAACCAGGTGCCTCATTCAAGCACCTCTCTCAAGCTCTTCTACAGCTGGCATTTGAAGCCATGCAGTTCTCTTTTATGAGTCATCCCAGTTAACTTATACATTGATTATGCACTATGTGAAGTAGTTCCTTTTGTATTTTCTAAATCTCCCAGTTAGCTTCATTGGGTTAAAAATTTCCCCTGTCCACTTTCTCCATGCCAGGCATGATTTTGTATACTTTGTGTCTTTCAGTTGCCTTTTTTCTAAGCTAAGGAGTCCCAGTTGTTCTGACGATGATTATATGCCATCAAGTCAATGTTGAGTCTTAGAGACCACATAGATAGGTTTTCTCCAAGAGGATCTGTCCCCAACCTTGCCTTCCGATGGTGCACCCATTGCCACTGTACTTACGTCCATCCACCTTGATGCTGGTTGTCCTCTTTCCAGATATTCTAGCCTCTTTGTACTTTTTTTTTTTTCTGCTGTATATTCCTTTTCAGAGGTGGAGATCAGAACACTTATCCAGATATGGACATACAGTAGATTTGCAATAAGGGCTTTACAATTTTTGCAATTTTATTTTCAGTCTCTTTCCTAATGATTTCTAGCATGGAATTTGCATTTTTCACAGCTGCTACACACTGAGCTGACATCATCACTGAGTT